AAGAAAAGGGGCTGTTCTTGTGCTGTGCTTCAAAGGTAACCTCTTAACCCTTTTAAGCTCTTTGTGCACTATTGTTCTGCCATCCTTCTACACAGTTTTTCGGGTGGTTTTGAACTGAGAAAATCTTTATTTTTCAGTCCTAAAAATGATGGTTTAAGCCTTGCTTGGCTAGGGGGTTGTCTCTCCCGTTTGCTCCTTGGTTTGTAATGCCTTTTGAGCTATCTTTCAAGGCCTTACAAAACAACTTTTTGTGGCCTTTTGACCACTGAAATCCAGAGGATTTTTAGTGGTAAAAACCCTGTTTTGAGGTCCCAAATAGAAGAGGGTGGTCCCCTCTCCTCTTGTCTTGCTTCCTTGTCTTGCTGGCCTATCAAATGAGCATGTATTTCTACTTCTTTGTGGCTTTGTTCAAGCATATTTTTGTGACTTTTCAGACCTGCCATAAACCCTGTTTTTGGTTGTCCTGGTCACCACTTGCATGCTTCTTATACTTGTAGTGTAATCCTACATGTAGCCTTGCAGAGTAGCATGTCTTTGTGATTTGAATTTGCTTAGTTCAAGCATGTTTTTATCCATTATTTGGCATGCCATAACTCTGATTTGTGTTGGTTTGGTTGCCTCTTGCATGCTCCTTGCACTTGTAGTGCAATTTTGGTTCACTAGCTTAACATGCTTAATGTTGTAGCCTATTATCCTAGCATGTGTGGACTCCATTCCAGCACGTTTTTGCGCATGTTATACCATGCTTAAACTCGGTTTGGAATGATCTTGGCCCTTGGAGGCTTGCCTTGTATAGCCATGGTGTAATGGCCTTTAGTAGCCTTGTGTTTTGGGGCCTCTAGCATGCTTTGCTTGAAGTGGTTGCATGATTTGGCATCATTTAATAGGTGATTTTAGAGCTTATATCTTTTCCATGCTTCCACTTAGATCACTCTTTAAGTGCTTTTGAGAAGTTAAGCCTTATGCCTCGTTTATGAGCCAATACGTATGCATGTTTGTTTAGTCTTTTGAGTCTCCATTTCAGCATGTTTTGCCACTGTCTTGGGCATGATGTAACTCTGTTTTATGCTGGTTTGGATGTTTGAGCATTGTGATGCGTGCTTATAGTGTTATCCTCATCACTAGCCTTGGTGTTCTTGGCCCCTTAACATGTTGTGCATGAATGCTTGCATGTTAGAGTGATGCATTTCATGCCAAGATTAGCATGTTGTTTTCATGTCATGTTGTTTGCATGTTTTGCGTTGTGTTCAACCGGATGTCGTATTGAACACGAGGAACATTGGTTCATTTCATACTTGAAGTGATGAAGTGAGCCAATCACTCTTAGTCTCCATTGCCTTTGATTTCTCATGATAAGGAGATGGTCTTGGTGTCTTCTTTGTCATGCATTTATTGAATTTGCACATGTTGGATCTTTGGCCATCATGCATTGAGATGCGTTATTGATGGTCTTGGATCCAATGATGCCCGCTCCATTGATGTTTTGAAGTGGCATGGAGTGGCATTGTGCGTACACACCCTTGGGAGACCCTCATTTTTCTCTATTTTGTGCTATGCTGCAGCTTGGTGTCACAGCACACCAGTGGCCGGCACCCTGTTATTATTGGTCGGCATCTCTTCATTTGTGGTCGGCAGTGTACACTCTTGGTCGGCAGGGGGGTCGGCAAAAGCTCCTCATCGCCGGCAGGCCACTGGTGCACTCCTCAGCACTATTTTGGTGAGATCCAGCCGCTAGTTCTCAAGGATACCCAGCAAACAGAGCCTCTAAAGAGCATTTGGAGAGCTTTTCGGGACGGGAATCGAGAGCATGCATCCTTCCTTGTTCAAGGCAAAGCTGAGGCAGCTTGATTTTGTGCTTTACTTGTTAATTAGCATTCGGTGTTGTAACTTAATTAATTTGTTTGATTAGTTAAAGTTTTGTAATAATTAGTTGTGCCTAGTTATTCAATTTGGTTGTGTAATAATTAGTCTAATTAGATTATTAGATTGGTTGATTAGCTTAGCATAGCTAGCTTAGCATATTCATTTGGACCCTCCGTCGAGAGGGCACAAATGTTATAATAAGTGTGCGTGTGTGTGAATGTCTTCCAACCCCACGTCTTTCACCTTTTTATTTACCAGCTTTTGATGGTTAGTTTTAGGGCATGTTTCAATTAGCATACTTATGCTTGCATGCGTGCATCATTCATTTGTCTTGCTTGCCTGCATCATTCATTTGTCTTGCATGCACCGGGCTCGGCGCATCATTCAAACTGCATTATATTTCAATATCTATTTGAATACATGTATCAAGTGTTGCATTCATATGCCATTCTAGATAGCTAAGCCTATTTAGTTTCATTTTTCATGTGTTGCATTAGGCATTGTTAACATAGCTAGGATCATGCATTGATTACTAACTAGCTTCTTTTTTGGCTCGGAGTACACTGTAAGTGTTTACGCTTTAGCATCCTTGCATGTGTGTAAGTGACTGCCATAATAGCGTGCTTGCCATGAGGCTATTTGCTTAAATGAATAACTGCATGAATGCCGGTCGATGAAGGCTTGATTGCCTGAATTGGAACAATTCATCGAAATGTGAGTTTTAATCCCACTTGAGAGTGGCAAAATCATGTTTTCTTAAGCCCACTTAAGGGTGGCAAATCCGCGCTTTAGCCTACTTGCGAGTAGCACTTTCAAACCCCTTTCAAAAACAAACATGAGTTGTTTTGTTCCAATCCGCGTGATTGAGGCTATACTTGTTTGCTATGCGCATCACATAGTAAGCTAGCAAATAAACCAGAATAAGAACACATGTGTTTATAAAAACAACATATCATGTTAGTAGAGGTCGATCCTTTGATTGGGCGAGCGGGGGTGCTCATTTCAGGACCTTCCCCTCTCGTACCCAGGTTCCCGAGCCAAGGCAACTTTGGTGTTGACGGACATGTGGCCTTAGGCACGAGTCAGGGTTTCCTAAATTTCCAAAAACAAAATATTTAGGTGGCGACTCTGAAATTTGGAAAAGCAGTCCATGTTTGGCGCTTATGATTAAAATTGATTTTCCAAAATGATTTGTCGGATTTGGACTCTTTGGTGATTTATCAATCTTGCATTGCACTTTGTGAGATTAGATTCAGAACCATGACAGGAGTCTGAACTGTAGTAGCTATGAACTACGATTCGCGCCCTCGCGCATGGAGCAGATTTCGGGCGGTCTACATACCTGCTATGTAGTGCTTTGCCAAGAGCTCTGAATTTGGAATGGACACTGTACATACCAAATCTCGCACTAGATGAAAGTGAATCAAAGTTCTGTAGATAAAATAGACTATCCAAGAACTAGGGACCTGCAACACAGAGCACAATCAGAGCTGCCCAGCCGTAGTTGGCTGAAAAATCCGTTCAGCGTGAGAATGAGTGATCGAAGAGTTGTACCACTTATTTCAATGTGATTATGGTTTATTTGATCTGCCTCTTCAAAATCTAAAGAGTTTTTCTTACTTCAAACCATTTCGCTTAAAGGGTGAGAGGGAAACCGTGTATCATAGGGCAACTTCTCTTGCTCATAAATCCTAAATTTTGTGACACTTTCAAAATGTATTCAAATCTTGAATTTGTAAAGGGGAAAAAAAAAAGTGAACTAAAGTAGAAGCAATTTCCCCTACTCTTTTTTATTCCCATAAATACAAAATTCAATCACAACCTTAATTTTAGAAGAAAGAAGGATTATATTTATGCAGGTTAGATATGAAGCATTTCACAAGTTGTAACTTTCCAGCATGGATTAAACAGTTAAGAGCCAATGCTATGTCGGCTGATTAGATGAGTTTTGAGTATCATGTTTCTCAAAGTAATTTCAAAAAATAAAAATAAAAATAAATTTTAACTCTAAAAATATACCTGTAAAATCGTAATAGATTTTTTTTTTTTTTTTTTTGAACTACTAATTTTGTGAGATTTAACTTTAAAAATATACCTGTAAAATCGTAATAATGAATAAAACTTGGTATAGACATATTTCTGTGAGATTATTATTCCCTCACATCTATAATAGTACCCAATACAACATCCTTTAAAGAAAAAAAATCCAATAAATCATAAAAAACTAATAGTAGATAAACAAAAACTTATCTACCTGCCTAGCTACTATATACATCACAAATCATATTCCAAAACATATATATTTACAGCGAGGCATCAAACAGAAAGGAACTCAAGTTTACGCATGCACCTCCGGATGCCACTATTGGCATCACCAATCCCAGAAGAGTCTCCAACAACAACTGATAGGTTCTTTACAGTCACCAGAAAGTAACTTTCCTGCAGCTCAGTGTCAATGGCATTGTAATTAGGAGGTCACTAATGAGCATAGTATTTAAAAATGATAAATGCCAAGATTAACCTGAAAATTACCAGAGTCATGACTTCCCTGCAGCTCAGTGTCAATGGCTCAGTGTCAACTGCCAATGTTCGAAAAATCCCCATGGGGCATCAACTCCTCTCCAACTGCCAAAAAATCCATCATCGCACAAATTGCATTTGTAGGAAATAAACAATCGAAGTACATAAAGAATTTTCAAAAAGATGTTAATAATTACATAATTCACAACACACACAATGGTTTGTGTATCCGCAAAATAATAAGAGGGTATATGCTTCAATGGTTTGAAAAATTAGAATTTTTTTGAATAAATCATAAAACGCTATTGGTCGGGTACACAATCACATGCTATTCCGCACCCATATAATAATAATATCTCCACTTGAACAGAGTATCGGGAGTCGACAAACAAGGTCTGCATTTTGGAAGCATATGATTTGAAATCCAATTCGGTTCTCATGTACTTTTGTGTAATATATTTGCACTTTGTGAATAAACTCAATCAAATTTCAGTTAATAGCTAATATTTTTTTGTATTATGAGATTTCATGTTAATTATGAGATTTCATGTTAATTAGTAGAGCCCATTACTTTTGTATTAGTGTTTAGAAGCCAAACATGAAATGTGTTAATTAATTAGTTAATAGCTAATATTTATTTCCCTCTCCCTCTCATATACCAACATATAAGAAATGCCTTGCACTATATCTCCAAATAAGAATTTCCTAGGCAATGATTGGGAACTCAAAACATAAATTTACTTTAATATCTCTACAAATAGGTAAGCACTAACCTAATTGAGGACTTCCCAAGTCCAAGTGAATGCTGAACAGATTTATTTCTCACGAATACTGCCAAAGATAGAAAGCATGGGAAGAAAGCAATGATAGTGAAGAAACAGCCATATAATAAACAGTATGTCTGTCAAACTTGTCAATGTAAAAAAAATAAATTAAAGGAGTAATCTATGACATCGAGGGAATGGAAAAAAGGTTTGATCATTCTGTTTGACTATTATCACTTCTATTTTTGGAAAGAAGATGAGCTACATCTGCTAAGATTTTGATTTCATGAAATTACTTATCAAATGAACCAAGTAATAAGTTGCTTAAATTTGACTTGAAAACTTAACAAAATTTCAAAATATGTTTAAATTTAATTTATTTACATAACGAGTCGATCTCAAATGAGTTTTTAACAAATCGAAAATGAGTCGAGCTTGAAGAACTTAATTTTTTTATAGTACATTTGAACTTATAGAGATGAGTAGTAAATTGTTTAAGTTTGATTTGAAAATTTAATAAGCTTAAATTGTGTTTAATCGTGGCTTATTTACATAATACGCCGATTTTAGACGAACTTTTAATAAGTCTAAGAGCACTTCCACCCGATACTTGAAATCTAATGTGACCAATAAAGTTCTTTAGTTTTGTACCTTCCAATCCTTGAAATCATATTTGAAGACAAAATGGTTGTAAGCAACTTCACCCGACATAACAGAAGGGGCGTCAGCGGCATTTGTTGGCACTGAAAAGAAAGTCAATAACTACAAATATAATACAAAAACAAATAACTAAACAATATTCTCAAATGGATGTTGTTATGAGTTGTTGTGTCTTACAAACAAGATGAAAGCCCTTTTCATCCACAGCCATTATAACCCGCCCATCTTTGACCAAGAAAGATAGAGCAAATAAATTTTCCACTGTCTGTGCAAAAGATTTTCTATTCAATATCAAACTTTCAAGTTTAACCCTTCTCTTGCTCTTCAAGATGTCGAACATAGTCAACATATTCTCGTCAGTATCTGTCCTCTTTTCTTCTGCCCCAATATTACCGAGCTATTGCACAAGAAATTTGCATGAATGAATACATACTGTTAAAAGAACCTGGCACCATTTCTAGATTTGAATTTTATGAGTTAAAATCTCATGTATAAATAATGCAATGCACTCACAAAAGATTATTTGACTACGCAAATATTAGAATGAGCTAAAAAAATAAATCATCATAGTAAACAACTAAAATTGTGTGTCTAAGTACTTAACGCTGTTACATTCCACAGTACTCATAACCGCGCATCAAAGCACTGTGGGGTCATACCGTGCACCATAGCACTTATCTGCAATCAATCTACTTACCGTAGGACCGCGTATATCACACCATGCAACTAATAAAGCTAGGCCACAAGACAAGACCTAGGTGTGCCGAAGGATTTAATATACACTGCAGGACTATGGAATCTTTTGGAGGCGAGAGATGGAGCCTTCGCCTTGGCATTCTTCCCCTCGTGGGTCTAGCCACCATACGCCAATCCTATTGAGACAAAGACATCCCCACTAGGCTTCTCCAAAATCAGTGTGTCATCCTACCAGTAAATATGACAAATATTCTGGATATTAGAGAGGGGTGACAACACTCACATGGTGCAACACCCTCGGAAGTTCTTGAAAATGGGTGAAACAGCAAAGCCAATTTCTTTCCAGAGGATAGAGTTCTTGTGGGCAGCTTCAAAGTCCGAGGATCCTTTTCTTCCTTGTACTTTTGTGAAGTCTCTCAGCAAACATGATATGAAATCCGATGGGGGTAACACCTCCTCCGATATGTGATTTAACAGAGGTCAACAAAGTCCTAGAAAGATTCATTAGAGCCTCTACATCTGCAACAAGCTATGGTCTAATGCCAAACATGATATTCTACTTGATGGAAAGCTACCCCATGGAAGCAACCACTGCTAATTTTCCCTACTCTATGAAAGATATCACAAAATATGCTTTTATATACATATCATGATGAATGGGCTACTTGAATTCAGAGCTCAAAACTCAAAAGAATCATTTTCTAGTTTCACTCATCCACAACTCTACTGTTACAGAAATACATAACCTAGCACTTCCACACAGATAAAGAGGAAGACAGAAGAAGAAAAATGTAATAGGTCACAACACTGTATTTGGAACAAAAACCAACTCTTTGGTAGGTGTATTGGTACTTTACTTGCATACTGATGATCCATTTCATGCAGTTGGCACCGTAGATTCCACATCTTGCACCCTTTATAAGTAATTAGACGGTAGAGTTAGCATGAAACTTTGAAGCAAAGTATCAATTTAAACCAATGAAGAATTAGTTGGGATGAAATTGTGCCATGGTATGGCGAAGCTCAAATTTAGCCTCAATTACAAGAGCTAACATCTATAATTGCTTGCACTAGCTAATGTAACTTCTGAATTGCGACAAAGCAAAATGAACTTACTTGCTTGATACCACAACTACGGATGGAAGCTCCAACCTTCAATACTATTTCATATAACTACTTCATAAGTTAACCACACATATTTACCAGCCTGTAGAGAATTGGAAAACTAAAATTAACAATCTCGCGCTCACCGAGCATTCGGTTTTTAGGAAATTTCTCAACAGACACACTGCAACAAGGTTACAAATACATTAATATTGGCAATAATGATCAAGAACACTTTTGTTTGGTTTGATTTTTAGAATTTGCTTTCAGAATTCTTTTTGAAAACATGAAAATTAGTTTTGGCAAAAAATAACCACCAAAAACATATTTTAAAAAGGGGTAGCACCAAAAGGAGGTGTCCTTTTTATATAAACCCTCCCCAAATCATATGAAATCACATAAGGACCCATACAAAAAGCAAACTCATGCTATTTGATCCCTTGAAAAGAATAAACAAAGGCAAGGAGGAGATGCACAAATAGAAAAGGAACCTCCCACTCATGGGAAACATGCTACAAAATGTAAACTGGTTGAAAAGGAAACGATCAAGGGCCAAGAGTCTCCCCCGAAAGAATAGATTTTGCCAAGAATATGGCCCTTTACTTTTAGGAGTTTCATCTTGATCATACTAAAGGCATAAGGACCTGAAGAATCTTAACCAACCAGTAGATTGAAAGTGTAGAGAGCATAAAAGAAGCCATTTTCTTTCTTTCTGGAATGTCAAAATTGAGAAACTAGGCTACCATCCCCTTTGCCTCATCTTTTAGGTTACTAAATGAATCACTCTTACAATAAAAGTAGGTGTTGCCCCTGCTTTAAATGGAACATCATGTCAGGAAAATGATATACTCTCACCATAAAGGTTTTGGTTGCCCCCACTATTAATGGAACAAAGCCAATTCCTCAGTTATTTGTTTCATTACAGCCATTACTAGTGAAAACACTAAATATCTGTCTGACATTATGTAACATATGACACAAGAGAACCAAATTTGGGGAATCAAAATAATCATAAAGTGCTCTGAGGTTAAACATCTAGAAGATCTTAGTTTTAAATGACTCAAAACATGCTGACTATAATCAACTAACCCTCCAGTGGTTGCAGTAGCAGGTTGACTAGTAAGATCATTCTTCTTGACATCAGCTAACACAACATTGATATCGTCATCCTCAAAAGCAAAATACACAGGATACTGTAACCAAATATAGCATCATCAAGATAGTTTCCATGATAAAATCACATTGAAATATAGAAAGTGAAAAGAAATTTGGGGATGTGAAACATCTTGATTAATGAGTAGGCCAATAAATTATAGGACATGACAGAAAGCCAAATGTCCTGGCCATTAAATGGTGTCTAAGAATCCTACAGAGCAATATAATATATATGTATCCCGAGTCCATTTGGGAGCCTGTAACAAACACTGTAGGTTACTTTGTTTAGAGTGTTTTGATAAAGTTTGTGCATACTACACAAACATAGCTTCAACAAGCTGAAAAAAATATGGGAAAGAGAACTTAAAAGAAGTAGAGGAGAAATTGAGAGACGGAGGGAAGTTGCAGAGGATGCAAGATGGAGTAGGTATATCGACTGACAGTCCAGCAGGTTCGAATATTCAAAAAGCCTGCACTCGAAGAGGGAACAAAGTTTCAAATCATAATAAATGAAGAGAGCGTACGAAGAGGCGGGAATATGTAATAGTGCTTAGAAAACGTGTGCTCTGACACAAACGTGTGCTCTAATCGTTTGGCAAAGTAGTCCAATTTTCCAAACGATTTTCTAGATTTAGACTCTTTGATGTTTATCAATTTCACATTGCACTTCTGAGATTAGATTCAGAACTACGGGAGTCTGAACTGTAGGGTTTATTTCGAGCTTCTGAAAGGGGACACGAAAAAGGCAAGCTACAATCACTTTGGTGCTCCTCTTTCTCCCTCAGTAACTATCCAAAGTACTGCCTCTCGATATTAAGGGAGCACAATGATATTCATAAGCTAAAGCGATCAATTAAGACAACATGGATTTAGGCATTTAACTCTAGGTAATATGACCATTTTCACATGTTATAGCAAACTATCATTTTCAAGCCAGACAGCATGCCATAAAGGCTACCTATCAACAAAAATGGTTGCTTTGTATATATAATTTAAGTTAAAAACTATACACTGAGGTAGGTCTTACATTCAAGGAACTAAATATTGATATAAAATGATGGAACAACATCTAGATGTGACTATCAATTAAGATGTCATGGTAATAAAGCAGCAATTCATTTGACAAAAATTAAAACCCATGAAACAAATATTGAAGGAATCCCACAAACCAAAAACTAATGAACTATCAATTTGTAGAAATGAAAAGTATCATTAGAATATTCCAGTAATGAGTAGAGATAATATTGAATGTAAAAGCTTAATTAAAGAATTTATTTATTGATGAGAGTTCAATTTGAAGAATTTATAACCAACCCTGACAATTAATTTTTATCTTTTTTTTTTCTTCACAATTTAAGTAATTATGACCATAAAATTCAGCAGTCAGAACAACTTCTTATGCATGGGCATTTACTTAGGCTAGATGAACTATAATATTTTGGGGGTGTCTGTGGACGTCCCCCGAACATCTCGGGAGGGTTGGTCCCGTTCTGTTCATTTGGGGTTACCACAGTTCGGACTCGATTTGTGTCACGGTTCTTAATCTGAACCAAAGAGTCCAAATCCGGCAAATCGTTTTGAGAAGAAAAAAAAAAGATTTTTGAAAAAGTAGTGCCAAACATGGACTGCTTTGCCAGATATAGAGTCGCCACATAAATATTTTTAAAATGGGGAAATTTAGGAAACCCTGACTCGGTGCCGAAGGCCACATGTCCGTCATCACCGGAGTTGTCTCGGCTCGGGAGCTTGGGTACGATCGGGGAAGGTCAGCTATGAGCACCCCCTTTCGCCCGGTCCGAAGACCGGCCTCTATTAACCGTGATATCCAGTTTTGAAAACGTTTATGTATTCTTATTCCAATTATTAGCCTAAGATTACTATGTTATGCGCGCAGCAAACAAGTATAGACCAAATCGCCCAAATTAGAACAAAAATTTCATGTTTGTTTTGAAAATGGTTTGCTACCCGCAAGTAGGCTAAAATGCGGATTTCGCCGCCCTCAAGTAGGCTTTTTAGAAAAGATGATTTTGCCACTATCTAGTGGACTTAAAACAAATATAGTTTTAACGCATTATCCCAATTTGAGCCATTTGACCTTCACCCACAGGCATTCAAGCAATTTATAACACATAAGCATCTAGCCACATGTTAATCATGCTGTCATGGCAACATTCACACACATGCGAGATGCTAAAGCATAAATACTTACATCGTACTCCG